TCATTATATTTCGCCCCAAAAACTTATAAAAAAAATATTTTCCTAACATGTTATATATTTCTATGTAGGGAATTAGATTTTCTACAAAATGTATATAATGAATTTCCCATAAAGAAATCCGTAGAAAAAAAATACCAAGGCCGCTTTTGAAATTTCAAAAAAAAAAATTCAAATTTTTTTATTTTTTTCACTTTATCGATAAAATACACTGTCTAAATCATTATGATATTACTATTTCTAGATTCTCCTGTTCTTTCCGAACAAAATGAATATGAGGTTGGCTAGGTTTACTTGTACGGTTGAATTTTTACGAATTTTCAAAAAAAGGTTTGCAAAATCGCCAAAATGGGTTGGCCATTCCCCACTTCTAACATTGGCCACTGCTAGGGTTAATGAGTCGGTTCATTATAACCTAAACTTTAAACAACTTACCTAATCTAACCTCACTTCAAGGACTTAATACAATCACGAATCCGCATAAAGTCCGACCTATCTTCTTCACATGCCTATGTCATGCTTCCTCTTCTGTCATAAAAAGTGATTTTAAAAATTAATATTTAGTAGGTTAGGTTCTAGGTTAGATTAGGCCTAGGTTAAATTAAACTTAGATTAGATTAGCTGATCTTAATTTAATATAAAAGGGTGTCAATAATAACTTCTGTACTGCAGTAACTTATGTCTTTAAAATATTGTTACCTAGCATGGGATCTCTCATTGTTGGGGTTTCCATATTACACATGTAATATCATTTATTAGTTGCTGATGCATGAAATTATGCACTGTGGCATGTTTTCACTTTTAGGCACAATGGGATTAGGGCCTGGCCTATGCACTATTACCTATTGAAGTGGCAGTGTCATAGCTTCTATTACTTGTATTTTACGAGAATAAATTCCATTGTTTTATAATTAATGTTGAAGTGAGTAATAGTTTAAATGTGTAGTTGAGTTATTGTATTTTCTTAACGGCGTCAAAGTTCATTTGCTATTACAAATCTAATTATTGCATATTGTAATTCAGATTTTGCTCTCATGTCATCGTGTGAGTTTTAGTTTGTTAGCATCGGTTGTAAACATCTAACAGCTGTTTCCACTCCACAAACCTTCCGGGGACCCCTTTCGTTAGTGCTAGAACTTGGACTCGTCCAAACCACAAATATCTGAATCACTCAACGAAACTGAAGTTTAATATTAATTATTTAATTGTACAGCCACTTAGGAATCTCTCCGACAAAAACTGATTGCATTTTTGGATTCTGCGTGAAAAAAACTGTAGCCTAAGTAGCCTAACTAAAAATAATTACATCATATCTCATTGTAGATATAGGTAGTAATTACCCTTTCTCAAATGACTTTTGGTCGCCGAGACTTCCTGTAGGACACCAGACCTAGATTACTAGACACTACACCTAGAAAACTCGCTTAAACATCGTGACAGGGCAGTTACTATACAACAGCGTTTCCCAACCTGTGGTACGCGTGCCACTAGTGGTACGCAGAGGCAACTGCGGTGGTACGCAGTGACGTATGATTAGGCTTTACTAGGCCTAAAATTACTATTTCACCATGGTTCGCACCGGTGCGGCACTGTTAACAATTCATTGGCCATCGGCAACTGTGTCTTGTTTCGTTATCAATACAATAGAACGAATACGAGATCATTTGTTAGACAGCTATTACAGTTACTAGCTTATAACAGGAGCAATCAAGTAATAATAGGTAGAAGAAACAAGATTTCACTGTCTCCTACAATTGGGAATTTTGATGACGAAATTACAACCAACTGAGTCTTGAATTTCTGGCTGACATTAAAAACCATTGTCTCAGCTAAATTAACAGCTACAACCTTTATTTTCCTGAGGATTTGAATGAAGATAGAAATGGCACCAGACAACTTGACTGCACCAGAAAACAAACAGTTGTTTGAACTAAACTGTGATTCGGAACTTCAGCAACAATTTTTATTGTGTTTCTTGTCATTTTAATTAATTAATTGTTAAATGTTACAACACTACACAGAATTTTACTTTTAGTTCTTTTGGCTGTATAGGTTAGTTAGGTTTGCAAACTATTAAAGATCTCTCCATAGATAATTATTCATACTTCATTTGACTAGGTAGTACGTGACATTTTTTTGTCTAGTGCAGTGGTACACCAGTAAAAAAGGTTGGGAAACACTGCTATACAAGACACCTAACCAAGATTACTAGACACCATACCTAGATTTATAAACACCAAGCCCAATTTACTAGACATCATAAGGGTTTAAAAACTTGAAAATAGGACGATTGCTGTCCCCTAGGTATATCTGAGAAAATTAATACTCACCAATAGTAATTAAGTCTATTTTTTTCCAATGTGTAGCCTTTGTAGTTCATAAATCTGATCTTATTAGCAATAAAATAATTAATAACATTTATTATTGCCAGAAGAGAAATTCAACCTCTGGTTTTTGAGTAATCTGGATCACACAAACAATCCTAAGTTTTGACAAGGATATCTACAATGAATTATGCAAATTATGATTCCAATAGCTTTTTAGATACCCAATAATACCAAAGTGTGAGAAATGTGATTGCTATAAATTATATACAAGATGTTAAAAAACTCAAAATAAAACTCTAAAAAAATTGCGGTAATGATATCAGGATCCTTCTATATTATTTATCTAACTCACAATACAAATTATAGGCTGCAATATTTTTTTCTTTAAACAATATACTGAAAAGTATAATGTTTTGCTTAAAAATAACCATTAAAGTTAGCGATTTTATTTATATGCATACAAACCACCATGTGACCCACTATTTTAAGAATGACCCAAATTACAAGTAATGTAGGTCACGTGACTGACATTACATGTAAAGCAAGTAAGGCGACTGACATTAGTAGGTACACAGTAACTCAAACGTATAAATGGGGAACTTCTATGTATTAAACAACACTTGTGTTACCATCCTTTATTATAAAAGTGTCACCTTTTCGTTATTATCGTCTGCTATTAACACGAGGTTCGTAATTTTCTCGCAAATCTAGGAGCCAAATTCTCACTGCCCACATTTTTGTATAATCCCGCCCATCATCAAAATAGGTAAAGTAAAGAAAGTAAACAGAAATAATTTTCAATTGTATTGTGGGTTACAGAAAAATTAATTCTCAACATTGAAAACTCATAAGAGAAGTAATTTGGGTGACAGAATTCACCAAAAGTAATAGGTCATACATCAGATCCTCAGATTTTGTGACCCAAATTACAGTGACCGACATTAGCATTTTCACTCTCGTCATTTACTAAAATGGAACTTAGAGGCCGTGGTTCCCTTTGCTGGCCATAAGTTTGGTTAAGTATCCGTCTGTCTTATATTTTTGTAGTTTTAAATAAGTTATTTACCGTATTGTAACAGTTATTATCAATACCGATCATTACACAAAAACTTAATGCTTACAAAACGGATTTTAAATCAAGACTTTCCGTATAAACTAGAAATCCTGGCATCACATAACGTCTCACCTACTTCACCCACAGTCAACAACGAACAGAGAGCAGGGTGTCCACATTCTGGAAAGTCAGGGATAGTCAGGGAAAGTCATGGAAAAAAATTCTGGTCATTGAAAGTCATGGAAATAGGCAAAAAGTCATGGAAAGTCATAGAAATCCCCAATGATGGATAGATTTGACGGTACTTTTCAATGCTCTAGTCAGCTGTAACCCGACTATTGTAGCAATTTTCAGGATTTTTCAGTTTTTCACAAATTCACAACAATTTAATTTATTACAGTTGTATAGGTTTATGAGTTTTGTGTTTTTAATAATTCAATATAATCTGTCGCTACTAAATCTTATAATTGAATTTAATATTTGTAGAATATTGTTGCAACAGTAGTGTATATTGAAATGTTACAACTTTATTATTACAACTCAAATTGGAATACAAATAGGCTATTGTTATATTGTTTGGAGTTGTCTCAAGTTAAGTCTTTCCAAAGTTAAAACCTTAATTTAGTAAACTCTAAACTCAATAAAATTCAATAATATAAAGTAAGATCGGAAAGAAAAAAGAAAGTGGCTTGAGAGAACTTGGCCAGCTATGGGGACGGAGGAGGCTGGGATTTCTTCTTTCTTTCCTTATGTTGAACACAATATTTTTGCAAAATGTATTAGCCTACTCTAGTGTTAATACAAATTTCTGTATTTTCTGTGAAATTACTTGTCTAGGCAGTATTATCCGTGTGTGTATGTCATATATAATTTTCTAGTAAATTCGTGAGTCATGGAAATCAATGGTAAATGGTCATGGATAGTCATGGAAAGTCATGGAAATCGATGACAAATTTTCTGTGGACACCCTGGAGAGAGGGTTGAAAGACCTGACGAGAACTGGTTTCGACCTCGAACCCAGCATTACATTCACGGCCAGGGACACGACTTTTAACGATCGTTATTGCCAGTATAATCTCATTAAAATGCCTGCTTAGTAATATTTGTCTATATTTTAACTTTATAAATTAATTCAAACCAAATATTTAAAATTTAATGCCTTAATATTACTGAAAATATACAAGTTTATGTACATCTAACTTCTAACCTAGGGGACAGGGTTTTTGCAATAAATATAGGCCAATTAATATTCTTAGCACAAAACCTCTACAAGACGAATGTGGCCTCTATAAGGCGAATTTCTCATGAACTATGAGGTTAACTCCATAGTACGTAGTTTTATAAACAGACGCTTTTTTAAGTCTCTACATGAAACCCCATCCATACCTCAGTCATTGTTTGGCACGTGCCTGTGTAGAGGAGAAACCTTTATAAGGCGAATAACGGCCGGTAACCTCGATAAAACTAACCTCTTTACTATGAATACCTCGATAATTTTTCCCCTACCCCTTGAAATTAATCTTAGAGGTTCAACTGTAATATTAACTTAAACCATGCTTTCAGTGACCTAAAGTTGTGTTCACAATAGGCAATTTTGGTTACAATTCCATATTCTTTTTCAGGATGAGAAAGGTGCTTATTTGATCGATCGGGACCCTACTTATTTCAGTCCTGTGTTAAATTATTTACGGCATGGAAAACTAATCATTAATAAGGATTTAGAAGAAGAAGGTGAGTCTTGAATTGATAAAGAGAACCATGTTTTCTAGCAACCTAACTTATTTATAATAGTTCTATTTTAAGGCTGGGTTTTAGCGAATTTCCCTATAGGGAAGTAGCTATTACCGTAGGTGGCACGGTAAGACCTAGGCCCGGGACTGGTTTACTTTTTTATTTTGATGCCCCCTGAGACCAAAAACGCCAACCGTTCAAAATGTTATATATATATTTGTTTCCGTAAACGCAATACTGTAACTTAAGTAATTTTTTTCCAATTTTCATAAAATTTGGTTTTAAGGTGCATAAACTTAAATGAGTCTGCGAACCAGCATGATAGGAGCATGGGAACGGGGTTTTGCAGGGGGTTTTATAGGTAAAATTGGGTTTTCTCATTTTTGACGGTCCCTAAAACACAAAATTTAGCAATTTCTCTCTAGACCATTATAAAAGAGCTTAAAATGAATTAGTAGGCTATATTAAAGAGTTTTTGTACGGTCATATGTTACAGAGAAAATAAAAAAAAATTAAATTTAAAATTCCAATTTTTTTTAGAAATTTGTAAAATGCTACAGTTTGCTTGTTTATGGATATATATTGATCAAACTTGGCAAATTTATTTATTTTATTCTAAGCTATTATGTTACTAAAAAACACACTTTATTAGGCTGCCTGTAGCAGCAAACCTAGGTTAAACCTAATGTTATTTAAATCTATTTAATTTCAAATTAATTCAGGCAAATGGAAATTCACTTAGTCTGCAGGTTTAAGCGCTGCGGCGGGGGTATTTTCATTTCCTTGTTGTAAAAACAGACTCAGATAGTCTTTTTATTAAATGAAAGAGTTCTAAAATAATTGGACACTTTATTAAACAAAATTAAGTTCCTTAACAGTATTCCTAACTTGTGATACGCATACATCTCTTATTTTGAGTGGTACACAGAATCCATTCTGGTGGTACATGATAATGTAATAAGTACGAGTATTTTATGTCAGAACAAGATTGGGGAGGAGTGTCAGCATTAGTTCAGTTTTGTGCAAACTAATCCACCACTGAGTTTCCTACTGTCAAGTGCATAAAGACTATTTAAAAATCAGGTAAAGGCATAACCCAACAAATATATAGGCCTAGGACCAAGGGCGGTTCCAGGGCAAATTTTTGGGGGGGGGGCATTTTGTCGGGGGTATGGGGGTTATTCTAATTCTAGGCCAGCGTGGCCACGACCACCGTAGGTTTGGGGGGTATGGAATACCCTCCATTGCGAGAGGGGTGTCCGGGTATGAAAAATTATACTTGCAAATACGACATTTTAAGCACTCTGACGAAGTAAAAGTTTAATCTCTTGTAATCTAAAAAAGGAGAGTTTTAAGTGCAAAACTTTCTTTTTTCAGTGGTCAAACTTTCTCTGCTCTTACCGGCCCTGTAATTTCACCTATCTATTTTCAAATGTTTTGTTTCATAATGTTGATGTGCATTGTATTCCTTCAACAATGATTGTTCCAGAAAATAAAAAAAAAGTTCCTCGCTGACTACATTTTTGATGTTTTTAGTGGTGTTAAAAAACGACCATCAATCTTAATTTGCCTAAATAAACTATAAAAAATATGTCAAGGTTCAAACTAACAACACAGTAATAAGCACTGTCTTATAAAACCAACATATAAATTTGAAATGTTTATGTTAGGCCTAACAAATAAGTGTAGCAGAGCAGGTTGAGAGAATGTATGTTTGTGTAAAAGAGAGAGGTTCATACGACCCGCCGGCCTCAGTATCCCACCATTTCGAATGGTAGGCACGGTTTTATAAATTTGCCAAGTTTTATCAAAATATTTCCATAAACAAGCAACTACATTTTACAACATTCTCCATATGGATAACATGGGAATTTTAAATTTTCTACGTAACCAATAACCGTACAAAAACACATCAAGATACTAAATTATTTGTTTTTTTAAGCTCTTTAAAAAGGTCTTGAGAGAAATTGGGAAATTTTGTGTTTTGAGGGTCAAAAATTAGAAAAACCAACTATATATAAGTTTTGTTTTAACAAATAGTGTTTGGACTCTGGGGACGTCAAAATGAAAAAGCATATCGGTCCTGGCTCCAGGTCTTACCGTGCTATATACGGTTATAGTTACTTCCCTCTAGGGAAATTCATAAATAATGTTACAAACAATGGGCATGACCCAATCAGACTAATAGACCTTTCAAACAAAGGCCTAAATTAATTGAATCATGGTAAACAAATAATTTAAAAAAAAATGCTTTTGCCCAGTCAATTTAAAAGGGTCTATGGGTATCTTGTAGCACGTACGATTAAACATGTCTCAAAATATAGTTACCAATTCTCTCTCCAGGAGTACTGGAGGAAGCAGAGTTTTATAACATCACAGAACTCATCCGACTAGTGAAAGAACGCATTGTGTGCCGAGATACCCGACCTCTTAAAGACTCAAAGAAACACGTGTACAGAGTGATACAATGTCATGAGGACGAGCTCACGCAAATGGTGTCCACTATGAGCGACGGCTGGAAGTTTGAACAGGTAAGAAGTCAGAATAATCATTAGACATGAAATAAATGCATGGACAACTGTAAACATTACTATTGTAATACAAAAGATTGTGATTTCAATGTATTTGTGTTTAGGCTTATTAAAAGTCATGTAGAAAATAAAAACAGAATCTAAAAGCTAAGTAAATTGTATTGTAGGCTAATAGTTTCTAATAATTTGTGTACGCCTGTGTGTATCTTATTTCTTCGTCAACACAGTATTGTGAAGTTGTTAGCTTGAACATTTTAAGACTTTTAAAGGTTTAAATTTATCACTAATAATTGATAGATCTTTTTCCAACTATTTAGTTTCAGTTTGTGAAATGTTTTTTGCATATTTTTTTACTTGCCCTTAACTAACCTATCCTATAAACAAATTACAGCTGATCAACATTGGCTCACAATACAACTATGGGAACGAGGATCACGCAGAGTTCCTGTGTGTAGTGTCGAGAGAGTACGGCCCTCGAGACAGGAACACCAAGGAGACTGAACCTACTGACAGGGCCAAGGTATTTAACTTACAAGTACATTGTATGCAGTCCACTGAGAATGGTCAACTAAGGAAAAAAATAAATAGCTTACCAAGCATTTAATGACTCTCTTAAATTTTGGTTTTCAATCATTAAATTGAGTCAAAAGTAGGTTACATTTTTAATTTTTAAACTTATAGCCTATTTAACATATCATTCCCATCACCTTTTGACATATCTTGGGATACCTTTTGCAACTTGGAACTTCCTAGCATTTTGTAAACACAATGGCAAATTCCAAAATACGATTGCAACGTAAACGTTAAATCTTGTAGCCTACTGGACAAACTGGTCCTTTTATAATGGTTTTAATACAGTAGACTCCCTCTTATCCGGACTCCTCGGGACCGAGGCCAGTCCGGATAACGGGTTTTCCGGTTAAACCGATGTCCCCAAAATCTCGTTAAAACGGACTGTTTACTGTGATATTCTACTTAAATTTAGGAGAGCATTGTATTAAGACACGTGATCACTGGTCTCAAATCTTTCCCAAGAGAACAGACGTTTCAGTACTGCCCACTTCCTGCCGATCTAGTCCGGTTAAACCAATGTGCTGATAAAAATTGTCCGGTTAAAGAGATGTCATTTCCACCGAGTGTAGTCCGGTTAAACCGATGTCCGGTTAAAAGGTGTCTGGATAAGAGGGAGTCTACTGTATGTTAAGCCCCTGTCACACGGAGCTGGTTTTCTCGCAGCTAGAACCAGCAGAAAACCAGCATCGTGTGACTGATTCTCCAGCTGCTAGAAACACTCGCATGAGCTGGTATCTCCAGCCGCTGGAGGTTTTAAACAGTTTAATATTACAAGCGCTTGAAGAGTCACTAGCAGGTCATGTGACTATCTGTAGTCTCTAGCACCATTCCAGCTCTGTCTGACAGTATCGTGCTAGTTCTCGCATTAAGAAAAATGAATTTAAATTAATTGAACACTTTTAAACTAATCAAAAATAAATTTAAACTTTCATGTTTAAAAGTTTTTCACGCATTGTCATAATTTTCTTGTTGTTACGATTGCTACATCTCACATATATTAATTAAATTAATGTGATTTTTTGTGTCGAGGAAAGATAAAGTCCTTTTGTTATACGCCTAACACAACTTATTTGATTTTAATAAGTTAATTTACATGCCCATAGTAGAAACAAAATAATATTAATATTTTGTTTTTTTCGTGACACTTTTTACTTCTACAACATTATTTTTGCTACCATTATTATGAGTGTGTAGTTACATCCAACTACAATGTGTAGTTAGATTCCCAGACTTGTAAGTTGTAGCGCTAGTTCTCCAGCTTCGTCTGACAGGACTTCTAGCGCGCTGGAGAAATAACCACTAATGCTGCTGGTTCTTGCAGCGAAAAATAGCTGCTGGAACCAGCTCCGTGTGACAGGGGCTTTAATGAAGACTTAAGATACATAAACCACAAATTTTGTTGGGGAATCTATTTTCCTTTCTTATTAGGTCTTAGGAAATCCACACTTGAATGGGTAAAAAAATATACCATCAGTTTGTGCAAATGTTATTGTAACCCTTTGTCTGTGACACCACAGAGTTTTCCTCCGGGTGCATTTGTTTTTATACAGAAATATAAAAACCAATATAACCAAGTAAAAGTAATATGCCGGTAACTTTAGGAGTAACAGTACCTTGCATGCATCTTTCTAGGAACCGATTGAACATTATTTAGATCTCACACCTCCCCCGCAAAACCCCTATTTATCAGTTGAAGCCCGAACAGTTGCGTAGTACGAGACCGGCTCCGTGCGTCACCGATAGTGTTGTCTTTGTTTGCTATATATTTCTTATAAATATGTAAAGTAAGAGTTTTTTTTTTATTTCATGAACAATTGTATTTATTATACATGGTTTTTATACGTTTTAGTATTAATATAGGCCTATGTATACAAATGTTGTTTGTCTAATATTTCAACACACGGAAAAACACTCCATGTGTCACCGATCGTGTTGCTTATGGTTGCTATGTATTTTAAAAATATGTAAAGTAAAAGTTTGTTATTGATTTTTTTTACAATTTATTGATTATAAATGGCTTAAATACATTTTTGTATGTACAAAACACAGTTTTAAATTAACACAGGGTTAAATTACAAGACTATGTTTTTTTCAACATTTTTTCTAAGAGTATTTTTTTTAATACTCTATTCTTTCTTCTAATTTAATAATTGAGGTATTGTGTACCATGACAGGTTTTAATTCTTCTTCTTTAAAAGGCTTATGAATGTTGTGTGATAAGGTTTTACTTTGCTGCAATGCCTGCTGAGTAGTTTAACAGAGTTTTCAATAAACATGCTCACACTCACAGACATTTAGACAATTTGCCAACATTTGTGTGCAATATATTTATATTTATATGTATATTTATATTGGCAGCACTTCAATATAACAGTTAACCCTCCGAGTGTTATTTGTCGCTGCAGCGACTCAAAAACACTGTTTACGGCAAAGGCTCTATGACTGACTGAATCGGATTGAACTGGATCGAGTTAGGTATCGCTGTTTTCGTTAGATTCTAAGCTTTCTCCAGAGGTCTGTCTCTAAGCGCTTTATGTTCTCCGAGCCGATCGTAATTGTAGCAGACAGCTGACGTGCGTATTTGTAAACAGCTAGGTTACCCTCGGACCGATGACTGATGTGTTTTATTACGTTTATCATTGTTTTAGTGTTAAAAATCAAAAGTAGTGATATACGTGGTGCATTATAAGAAGATTTAAGTGATTTTGAAGGGCTGGTTGATGATCCTGAAGAAGTAGGTAGTGATATTGATGTAAATTATCAGCCAGATTCCTAGCTATGGTTAGGCTATGCATTCTTAGCCAAATGCTATGTACTGAAATCTGTTTTTTGCCCATAACTTATTTATTTGTAAATCTACTTCCTTATATTATTATATATTTGTAATCCTCATAAAATTTAGAACAAAGTGGCTATTTTCAAATATTTATAGGCCTATAATTTATACAATTTCATTGAACTTATTTATTTTTTTTTTCTAAAATATTTTTTTTTTTTACCTAAATTTTTCAAATTTTACAAATATTCCTTATTTTCTATGTATAATATTGAAGCCCATGATTTTCCAAACAAAATGGTATATAGAACAGTATAATTAACATTGTTTTCAAGCTTCTCAGATCCGTTTTAATAAAACCTTGCAAATGAGCAAAAAATAGGCAGACATCAAGGCCAAAACAAGGGACACTCGGAGGGTTAAACAAATCATTCAAAACTCATGGCCATAACTCACATTGTTCACTAGTGCTGGCTGGTATACTACTAAAATCAATCTCCAAACTTTGTAATTCATGCATATGCACAGTTATTGAAAATTAGTTTTTTCATTCACAAATGTACAGTCATAAAATGTGTTTACCAAGTATTATTTGTTTGAAGAGTATAAATCACACTATTTTGATGCAATCTTCTGTTTGTTGCGCTTACTTAAATAAATTGTAAATGACACTTCAATTCTCTTTTGATAGTTCTGGGAGAAAACATATTTAAATTCTTCAGTTAGGGACACCTATACAACTACGAAATATGGTTTTAAGCATGTTTGTTAGTTCTAATACTTGTCTTTGAGAAATTACATTTAGCTATAAGGTATGTCTGTGATAATTTAATTTTGGAATAAAGATAATTTTGTTGTAATGCGTTTTGAATATTAATTTCAGGTGTTGCAGCAGAAAGGATCAAGAATGTGAAGATTTGGACAGTAAAATGCCTCACCTGATGTACTCATTTTAGCAATTCTAACTCTAGTTGAAGGTGACAATTCACTGATTTAAAAAAATAGCGGCATTATGATTTTAAAGTATTATTTATGAAATTGTATTTTAAGAATGTGCAAAAGTACAACAAGGTTTATAAACTTTTAGCCCAAGTTATTTTTTGGCCCTTGTCAGTTTGACTCAACCAATTTTGATTTTTCATATTATCAATATGGTTATAATAAGTATTGGTTCTTGCCTTGCATTTTTTACCTTGCCGCTGGGTATACGGAGCAAAATCGATTTTCACCTGTTTTTTGCTCATCCTATTTTTATTCTAGCATAACTGTTTAGTATTTTTACTATAAGTTTATTGGTCAGGTCTTTGAGTTTAAAGCGTGTATCTGTAATCAACATTTAGTTTTCCAGAGAGGGTTTTAGTGTTGTTTTACTGCAATAAAAATCTTTAAAGAAGAAGCTAATTTAATTAATTTTGACATCTAGACAGCCAACATGATGAACTTTTTTGCAAGTTGGGAACAAACTTGTACGCCACTCCATTCAGACAGTTTTTATGAAGATTAATCTTGAGAGATCCTACTTGTTGTTTACACAAATCTCCCAGTAAGGTGAATGATAAGCCATCCAATTAATTGAATGAACAATGTGAATAGTTATATTGTTGTAAATAAACACAAAACCTACATGTGAAATTCGAAAAACAAAGTTTTCTTGCCAGCATTATTTGTATTGGTTTGGTATAAAGGAGAATATAATTTCTTGTGCTCCTACTTAAACTCAAGCGGAGCGTTTTCTTGTAATATTGTTGTTCTATACATTAACACCTTCTAGCTTGATACTCAATAGAAGTCAGCTTTAAACATGAACTATCAATTGTGCCGATATATTGGGTTTCCAATGAGATCTCGGTATCACTTCTTTTGTAGATACAATGACCGCAATCAGTAATGAATCATCAAACTATTATTAAAGTTTTTTTTTTATCAAACTGATCAGTGACTATATCATTCACCTTTTGGGTTGGTCCTTTATGTATGGCATTTAATTATGCTGCAACAATTAAAACACAATTAATTATGAATTAAGTAAATCTATTAATAATTGACATAATGCTATTATTATGTCATATTTTTTTCATAAGTTATGATTTTCTAATCTTTGTTTGATAACTTTCATATTACATGAAACTTAATTCATCGTATTATGATGAAGTTTTTTCCTTTCGTAGAGAAGAACAATTATTTTTGCCTATATTCTTCAGAGTTGTTAGTTGTTTAGAGTAATAAATAATGTTCTTTATAAAAAACTTTGTATAAAACCAGTTTGATTGTTTAGTTTTTTCTTTCATTTTCTCATTTCTAAACTCATTTCAAAATTTAACATTGTGTTCTAAGCGATCGTTTGGCGATTGAGTTACCTATAAAACATAAAATATTATTTATGGTTGGCAGTTGTAACAAAAAGTCTATTGTTACAAAATTTTGTTAGCTTTATATCGGGAAAAGATTGTACTTTTGTCTGATAGTTTTATTTAAATCATAAGGTATTATATATTGTTATTGTGGGTTGTAAGTATTGGTTTTTTTTTTAAGATATTACACTGAGTGGAAACCATGTCAAGTTTCATGATAAGAACTGTACATTCACTGCCCGAATATAAAGTACCTATTTATTAACACTTTTATAACTTGGATCTGTTAACTTTTCTCACAGTTCATTTTTAGGTCTGTGAGTATTTTACCATTAACCTAATCCTGATAGTAACATAGAGATGTGTTTCATTAACATTATTAGGTCAAAAAATCTAGTTTTTGTTTTCCCTATAAAAATAATATTTTTGTTGACAATTTTAATATGGTGTCTCCATGCTTGTTTTTGTACCAGATAATTAAATTATGTGATTTGCGTAATTTTCTTTTTGCTCCTTCTTGTACATCCTTTTTTTGTTAATCGTTTCTCTGATATTGAGAAAAAAATACAGATAAAATAGTTGAATATAAACTTTATTTACATAGAGTACACAATAGTATTTAGTAAAACTTATTTTGTTATGGCTGAAAGACAAGAATTATGATGTAGTGACTAGACGAAGAGGTCCCTCAAGGTATTGAGCCAGGGCTTGCGCTTTTTCTCGTAGGATGCCAAATCCAACAGATTCTTGGGCATAAAGACACAGCAGAATATTAGCCACTTGTGTGATAGCCACTTTACCTGACTGAAAAAAGAAAGTTATATGAAAATTTAACACTGTCAGATTAGGCCTACTGGAGGGTTCACAATTAAATTTGTATTACATTAAATATTCCTTAATGATTCATACCGATTAAATACCCATAATAACAAATTAAGGTGATTGAAGGAGTACAACTATAGCAACCCAGCAGGCGCACAGGCAGAGTTTGTCTATGACTGCTGATTCCACAGACAAAATACAAATTATAACTAGCTACAAAATTTGTTGGTGAAATTAAAGTTAATGAAAGAATAAATTTGTTGTAAACTCTTTTATTTTCTTACAAACACAACACTAAATTATATTTTGTAAACAACTGCATATGTAAAATGTAAAAACATATGATGGTCCATCACTAATCCAGACTAGATGAGTTGGGTTGCAATATTCAACATCCCCCCTCACCCAACTTAGCTAGGTAAAAGTCCTAGGCACTTTTGAAATTTGTGATGTTTTGGTTCGCTTAGTCCTTTAGTAAAAATATCAGCAACCATGTATTCTGTGGGTTGGTAGTTCAATTTTATTTCTCCATTTTGTACTTTTTCCCGTATAAAATGTTCTCTGATACTGATATGTTTAGATTTACTTCCTATAATGGAGTTTTTAGCCATTGTAATAGCTGATTGGTTATCACAAAATATTTCAATGACTTCTTGAGGTCTTCCCATATCATTAATCAATTGTTTTAAATGAATGGCTTCTTTTGCTGCTTCAGTCAATGACATGTATTCCGCTTCACTCGTAGACAGAGCTACAGTCCTCTGCTTTTTTTGATTCCCAGGAGATTACAGCCCCGCCAAATTTAAAACAGTAACCGGTGTATGATCTCCTGTCTTCACTGCATGCCCAATCTGCATCTGCTGCTCCAATTAATGGCTTTCCTGTTTTGAAAAATTCAAGACACAAGTTCTTTGAGCCTTGCAAATATCTGAGAACCCTCTTTGCAGCAATCCAGTGTTCCTTTTCAAAACAAGAGTTATATTGGCTCAGGTAACTCACAGCATGTGTTATGTCAGGTCTTGTGGCTATTGACAAATACATCAATGAACCGATTAAATTTTGGTATGGGTAGTTACAATCTTTCTCATGTCCTTTAACCAATTTTAGACCTGGTGTTAGTGGAGTTACAGCTGGCCTTTTTTAGTAGACAAACCTTTTTGTTTTGAGCATTTTTTAAGTCAGTAATCATTTTCGTTGTTTTGTTGAATAGTTTTTTATCTTCATTTTCACTCTCATCCACCATTATTTCTTGGAGGTATCTCTCAAAGTTGTTAGGAAGTTCCATGTAAACTTTTTCTTTTATTTCTCCATTTAGAAAAGCAGTTGAAACGTCCATTTGATCAATACTTAGATCATCTTCAACAGCAAGTCCAAGCATAAGTCTTATTGAACTTAGCTTTGCTACCGGAACAAAAGTTTCATCGTAGTCAATGCCTGGTTTTTGTGCAAATCCTTTTGCTACCAATCGTGCTTTTCTTCTTTCTAGCTCTCCATTTGGTTTTAGTTTCTTCTTTAATACCATTTTACAACCAATTACATTAATATCTTTGTTTCTATCCTCGAGCACCCAAGTTTCATTTTTTAAATGAGCTTTTATTTCCTCTCTTATTGCTTCATTCCATTCCTCTGAAGATTCTAAAGTTGAATCTTCATTGCAGGTAGCTGACATTTGATAATCTTTTGTCCAAAGAGGAGGTTTTCTTTGCCTTTTCTGTGATACCCTTATTTCATCAGTGTCTAAATGTTCATTTGAGCTTAGTGAGTCATCAGGTTGATTTTCAATATCATTTGAGCTTGGTGAATCATCAGGTTGATTTTCAATATCATCTTCGAAAATAATATCATTTTCCATTTCACTGTCATTTTCTTCTTCAAATATAGTGTCAAAATCAGACTGGTCATCATTATTTTCGCTCTGTTTGATCGGAATAATGCAAAAATCTTGATCTTTTGTATCACTTTCTTTTATTTTATTTTGCTCAAGAAGATTGTAATCATTTACATCTTCATTTCTTTCATAGTACATTTTTGAAAGAACTTTTACATCTCTTGCAATTTTAACCTGCTTTTGTTGTGGCATCCAAATTCTGTATGCTTTTGAATTGCTTGCATACCCCACAAATATTCCTTGCTCCGCTTTCGGATAAAATTTTCCTTTTCTTGAAGCTTTGTTTAATACAAATACTTTTGATCCAAATACTTTCAAGTTTCTTGCTGAAGGCTTTCTTCCAGTCCATTTTTCATATGGCGTTAAGTGTTCAGTAGCTTTTGAAGGGCATCGATTTCTTATATAGTTAGATGTGTTAATAGCTTCAGCCCACATACATCCTGGTAGATTTGATTCTATCAGTAAACATCTTGCCATATCCAATAATGTTCTATTTTTTCTTTCAGCCAAACCATTTTGTTAAGGCGTGTATGGAACTGTTAGTCTTCGCCTTATACCACTTTCTTTCAAGAACTTGTCAAATTCATCATTACAATATTCTTTGCCGTTATCTGTTTGCAGAAACTTGATTTTATTTCCTGTTTGATTTTCCACCTCATATTTATATTCTTTGAAACGTTCAAAAATTTCGTCTTTACTTTTCAAAAAATATACATAGCAGTATCTTGAATGTTCATCAATGAATGTTCCAAAATACTTATTTCCTCCAGGTGTAGTTACTTTCATAGGACCTACAATGTCAGAATGTATGACTTCTAACAAGCCTACATTATTTGCAATCTTTCTTGATTGAAATGGTGTTTGTGTCAATTTTCCTTTAATACACGTTTCACATTCTCCAATTTTGTCTTTCATGTTGAAGGTTAATCCATTCAAAGATTCATTTTTTAAAGCTGTTTTTAAGTCAACCTCGTTTAGATGACCTAACTTCTTATGCCAATCTATGATCTCAGGTTCTTTTGTATAGTTTGATTTTTCATTTACCATTACAGATTTTGTACTTTTGACATAATAAAGACCACCCTGACGTTCAGCTGCCACAATTACATTTCCTCTTTGGTTTTGGACGACAGCTTTCTCTTTTTCAAAAATCACTTTAAATCCTTTATCTGTTATTTTACTGACACTCATTAGATTTGTTGCCAAGTCTGGTACAAACAGAGTGTTATTCAATCAAATGTATGATTTCAGAATTTTTTTAATTCCAGTGAAACCGTTCCTGTTCCAGAAACGTCAGATGTCTTTCCTTTAGAAGCAAGTTTCAAAATTCCGTTTGAATTTTTGATATCTCTGAACTGTGATTTCTCTCCACACATGTGCGATGTACATCCACTATCAATACACCAATCAGATGAAGTAGAACCTAAAATGTTCAAATTTGAAGAGAAACATTCAGCCTCTGCTTTAAAACTATTTCCCATTTGTTTGGATCTACAGTTGTTGGCTTTGTGTCCAATTTTTTCACATCTAAAACATTTAACTTTGAAACCTACTTTTGTAGTGTTGTTCTCATCTGGTTTTTTATGACTATAAGTGTTTTGAATACCTTTCTTGGAGTTGAACTGCTTTGTTTTGCAATACAATGTATCTTCATTATTCGTACAAGTGTCTTTTGACCTAGCTTCACTCTCCTCAATTACTTTTATTTTTAAATCATTAGGAGAAGGTAAAGTGTCTCTAGACTCAATTGCTACACGGAAATTTTCAAATGATGATGATAAGCTGTAAAGTAGCATAATGCTAAGTAAGTCTGAATTGATAATTATGTCCATTTCTTGAAGTTTGTCAACGATCTCCATAAATTTGTTGACATGATCCCTAGCATCTTCCCCATCTTTCATTTTATGAACTATTAACTGCTATTAATGTGGCTTTCCTTGCAGGACCAGAACTTTGGTAATTGTTCTGCAGGCAATCCCATACTTCTTTGGAAGTTTTGCAGTTTTTTACTAATTTCAATTCACTAGGTGAAATTATCAATATTAGTTCTGATTTTGCTTTAAGATCTTTAACTGTATCCAGGTATTCTTACCAACTTCATCCTCAGGACATTTGTTCTCCCCAGATACATATTCCATTAGGTTTTGTTGGATTAATATAGCTTCAGCTTGAATTTTCCAAGTGTCATAATTATTTCGTTTCAAAGGTTCAATTCTATAGCCAAAACTCATTTTACTTATTTTTAAGCACAGAATACTGTAAAATGATTATTTTATCATTCCAAATGGCCCATAACCTTTGTTGGTGAAATTAAAGTTAATGAAAGAATAAATTTGTTGTAAACTCTTTTATTTTCTTACAAACACAACACTGAATTATATTTTGTAAACAACTGCATATGTAAAATGTAAAAACATATGATGGTCCATCACTAATCCAGACTAGATGAGTTGGGTTGCAATATTCAACAAAATTAAATGGTATATTTTGTACCTAGTGCCAATAATTAGGTTTTGCCGGCTCAAGATAGTTTTTAAAACGATCGAGAGCTGCAAAACATTTAAATCATAAGCATCCTGTTAATCGTCTATGACTATGCAATGTTTCAGGATTTTTCTCGGTTCTAACTATTTCAAATTACAATTTTATTAGAGCAGCGTCACTGCTCGATATGGTCGCTAGGCTGTTTGCCCCCAAGGCGATGTCACAATACCCTGCCCCGCACCACCCTCACTCAGCTACGATGTGCAGTAGCACGTACCCGTCTCACTTCCACCATGCATTAGACCTAGTCTTAAATAATGTGTAAAATGGGTTTTGGATAGAGCCCAGCATCCTAGAATGTGAAAGTTTGGTTAAAAATTAAACCTTTTATACATGCAAATATTATGTCAGCAAGTTGATCAATCACCGAAATGCTTTATTACCAATCCTTACGCTCCTTTCACACTTTAAGGTTTTTGCCATTCGGTTAAAAACCATAAAAGAACAAATTTTTCAAAAAGTGTATAGAAGAGTATGATGGTAGAGAACCATGCAATTATTATAACTTAGCTTTGTTGTAATGATAATAATATTTGTCTAACTGTGAATTGATAAAAAAACATTTACCTCGCTATATGGTCAGAAACTGCCCAGGTAATATGAAAGACACAGCATAAAATTGTAGGGTTTTCAACAGAACAGCAAAGTAGTAGGTTGTGTCCTCGCGCCATTAAGTTTCCGAGTGCAATTCTGTCTCTCTCTGTTTTGAGGCCTAGATCTAAATTGTGTGCTTTTTGTAGCCAAGAGCAGTTTTATTCTCATAACTTATTATCTTATATTTAAACTACATGTACAAATTGAAAATGCATGTAGATATTTAATACAGTGTTTATGATTTAATCTATATAAATAGAATTACAGTTTTGTCTGTAGGCCTACATTGCTTAGAATCATGCAGTTTTTGGTTATTTTTACGTTTCGTAGCCTAAGAAAGCCGAAACGAGTCTTATCTCAATTTCTGTCTGCCTGTCTGTTTTCCATTCTGTCATTCCGTCTGTGATGCCAAAATGCCATTTTACGCCGCCTACTCCTAGAAAACTAGAGTACCGATCAAGGTTCTAATCATTTTTCTGTATTTACTGGATTGGTGAGAGTGTCTTTGGCTATAAAAACATGGCCTCGCTTCTTTGAAAACAAAATAACGAACCATCAAAAACCCAATTTTGTTTGATTTTTGTCAAATTTTCTCCCAATGTTTACTATTACACTTTATGAAATAACGATCAGCTGTTTGGATTAGTTCTCACTTCTAGCTGTCACTGATATGTTTACATTAAGAGTTGTTTACAAATACTGCAACCATTTCCGATCAAGTTTTGTTAGCACATCCAAATCAAGTGAGATTAAAAACGTTGTGCCTTACTTAACCGGTTTAATTAATCGCAAGCATAACGATTGTTCTTGAGTTTTGATAACCGGGGAAAATACCGTGAATCAGTGTTGTATTAGTGCTGGGCAACTTACATTTATTTAATCATCGTCACCAATAGCATACAAAAAAGGTTTTCACTCATTGACGGCGCTTCAAGAACAGTTGTGTAAAGTGCAAAGTAAAAAATCATAACTGCAGTGGGTGATTGTGGATGTTGCTGCGATCTCGGAAGATCTTTCTGATTTCGCTGTGATCGTAACAGAAGTTTAACTTACAGATGTAGCTAAACTCGCTTTTCCAAATGTGTCACTTTTGGTTACTACTTACTTACATTTCGACAACGATATCGGTACTTTTTCTAGATATATGTACTGATTATCGTTTAGAGATTACGCAATCTTTTAAATAAGAAACCTTTGTTTAGATAAAGGTGGTTCTTTCAAACTGTCATTAATAGGCCTATGTTAACATTAAAAGTTGCTTACAAATAATGCTATTAAAGGGTTATAATTTTTTTATTCAATTTAAATTGATGTCTTACTGTATAGTTTTTGCATTTTCGGTCCGGACTCCAAAATGGTTTATGCTATGAAAATGATAAAACGTGAGTGAACGATTTTTTAGCAAACCATCTTTTACCTTTTACCTTCGATGTCTTCACCACAATCCGTATATCGGGGAATCGTCATAGTTCTTCCGTCTGGACGGGATTTCGCTGTATGTTCACGAAGTGAGCTGGCGTATGTGTGTGTATGAATGTTCCTCTGTGTATTCGTTTATGTTGTAATATGGTCTATTGGTGAGGTATTTTTTTAGGTGTTGGACAAATGTTTTATTGTTGTGTAGACGTTTAAATTGTTGTGGTAGCAAGTTGTAGAATTTTGAGTTTTTAAACTTGGCGTTGTTAACGTATAAATGTTTTGTGGACTGTGTATCTATTTACTTATTTATATATTTGCCAACGGATTTACACAAATTTTATAGTTTGATTAGGCCTAAAAACGATTAGGGCCTATCATAAAATTTGATGACACTATCAAAATTTCAAATAATTATTGTGTTTGTAATTTGTTTGGGTTAAAGTGTAGCAAATCCCCTAATTCAATTCAGTATTTGTGTGTGTATGTCTGTTGGTAACACATGAATGTCCTTATTTCTCAGTGTTTCGTGGAAAAGACAAGATCACCTTTGTTAAGGAAAATTTCAACCCGAATAAAGTGTGCAGTAGTGAGGTTAAGGTAGTATTTTAACTAGGCCTACTTTTAACCAGTGTGAAAAGTAACTTTCAATTACAGGCCTACCTTAGGGCTATGCCTAATAGATCTCTAAAGCAATTCCTTTTATCATTAGATATAAAATATGGACGAACACGATCGGGTGACATTTAATTGTGAAGCATTCGTTTTAGCTTTGAAACTGTCAGATATTGTATTTGCGAAGGTTTATATGTATTCCTATAGTATACAGTAATAGTTTTGCCAGCATATCTGGAAAAATGCACACTAAATATGCAAACCAACTCCTGTTTTGAATATAAGGTTTTAACTTACTACAAGATTCCCGTACATAGAACAGGCAAACAGCTAGTTACCCATAAAAAGAAAAACTCTGTGAGTTATATCTCTCCTGATCTACCCACATATAAGTTATTGGTTAAAAACAAGATTCCCCAAGGGATGAACACCAAATAATTAAGGCTAGTAGTAGGCATAGTGTTTTTCTTTAGTCAACTTACTGAGCACTCCATTAGAACCAGTTGCAGTTTGTCTTCTTTTAGAGCATTTCGCCCATTTTTTTCATAAGCTGACCAAATGTTGCTAGCTATTGCTGCTATGACTGTAGCATCTCTGTCTCCAAAACCACTGTACGCTAGAAGAGTGCCTTCGTGGTTCAGTAGTCTGGAAAAAAGGACTAGGTGAAATTCAAGATTTTTTTAAAGCTTCGATGAGATTATATAGACCTCACATCTGGTATAAGTAGGCCCTATATATGTTTAAATCTATCTATAATATTAAAACGAAACAGGGTTTTATTATTTCGCGATTCTGAATCAACCACTTGACCGATTTTCATGATTTTTGTGTTGAAAGAAAGATAATTTTGAGAACTAGGGAATGTCGAAGCCATAATTTTAATTTAGGGTTTCAGTTTTTTAGAAATTAAGTTTCAATTTTTTTAAAGCCTAGCAGCCGACGCTAGCAATTCAAAGTATTTTCAGTGCTGGTTAAACTAACAGCTGGTTATAAACTGTCATTGAAATGTTTATGTTACAAGTTGTTTGTATACAAAAATATTGTTCTTCGGTGTTGGCCTGCATACTATTTCACTTTAAAAATTTATTTTTTTTTCTACCGTGAAGGATCTGCTTTATCAGGAAATGTGTTATTTTGATCTATACATCTCAAACAGTTTAATCAAGTTTTGTCGTAAATGCAAACTGTGTAAGTAAGTTATTTAGTTTATGCCATGGAAATTTCATCTCATATTTGGGAAATCCTTTTTCAGAAATTTATTGCTTAATCGTTTAAGATATAAGTGGTTTACGTCTTGATACTTCTTATTCTGTATGTCCGAATGTATGTGAGTCATACTATAATTTTGGTTAGTAATGAAAGCGTCAATTGGTGTAGTAGATCTCTACAAAACTGTCCAACGAGCTGCAAGGTGCAGTAGAAACCAAAGTCGACTCATACCATACCATAACTCTCCCCATAGTATTGAAAAGTGCAGACAAAATATACAGACCAGTTCAAGATAACGGAGGTCGAGATAAAAACAAACAGAGAGCTATGAGAAATGTGTAAACACCCAGATATAGGGGTGCTTTCCAGAAGTAAGGCTTGGATGGGCAGGCTATGCGTGGTGGATAGGAGATAAATCAACTTTTAAAAGTATATTCCATAGTACCACAAGATAAAAGACCACTTAAAAAACCAAGAATTAAGTGGAAAGCCTTCGCCGTAAAAAGTGTTCGTGAGTCGCTGCAGCGACGCATGACACCCGGAGGGTTAAAGATTATGAAAATAAAAATTTTAAAAACAATATTTTGAAAGTAAACTTGATATACAAATTCCAAGATTAATCCAGACACCAATAAAGTTCAATCGATTCCCTACGTAGAAAAATTAAAAGTTGTGTACTTTTATAAGTAATAATATTTTTTTTTTATTGTTTGTTTACCTTACCGCAGCTGATTTTTGGTGATATGTGGTTTCCATGGCAACACAAAATTGTTTGTTATTCGCTAAAATAAATGAGTAAATACGCAAATCAAGAAGCAAGATATTTATAAACATTATAATAGTAAGAAGAAACAAATACCCCCGCCGCAGCAAACCTGCAGACTAAGCGAATTTCCATTTGCCTGATTGGATTTACACTAAAATGTCTCCTTAAAAATATTACATTTATTCCCTATTTAAATAGCATTAGTTTAACGAGTACTTAGGTTGGCTGCAACAGGGAGGGTGGTAAAAAAGTGTTTTTTCCAAATTTGATCAAAATATGCTCATAAACAAGCAAACTACAACAGTTTACAATTTTCTCCATATAAGAATAACATGGGAATTTTAAATTTACAATTTTTTTAATTTTCTCCGTAGCCATTAGGCGCATAATAACGCTTTACTAAATTATTGGTTTTTTTAAGCTCTACAAAATGGTTTGGAAAGAAGTTGCTAAATTTTATGTTTTTAGGGTAAAAAATGGGAAAAACCAATTTTTACCACATAAAACCCCCCATAAACCCCTCTTCCCATAATCCGATCATGCTGGTTCGCAAACTCGTTCGAATAAACGTAGGTTTACACATTTGTCCCAAATTTCATAAAAATCGGATGATTTTTGCTCGAGTTATTGCGCTAACGGACACATATATAAATATATATATATATCTATATATATATGCTATATGAATTCGAACTGATGGTGTTTTTGGCCTCTAGGGACCTCAAAACGAAAAAGTAAATTGGTCCCGGGTCCAGGTCTTACCATGAGTACTACGGTAATAGCTTATTCCCTATATGGGAAATTCGCTAAAAGGGCGAAAAATAATAATAACTAAATAACTAATGGCGCTGCCTAGCGGTGACACGAGCGGCACTCGTAAGTCGGCCGCCGGGCCTGCAGCGGCCGTACGAGTAACGCTCGTAAGTCGGCGCCAATGGGTTAAGGTGCATTTTACACTACTTATGTGAATAGTGATTAATTCATTAATTAAACGCCGACCGACAACTGCAAATCTGGGTCTGAGATACAGGGCCGGATTTCCCAATAGGCTCGGGCCTATGGGCACGAGCTCTTAAAGGGCGCACGGCCGAGAGGAATTTTTGTTTATATTTAAAAATAAAAGTAAATGGATAAAAAAAACTCTAGGTTCATAGGAAGAAATAATTGCTAGAAAATGTAAACTATTTTTCAGAATTACGCATCAATTTCATCGGTTATACGGGTAGTCTGTAGGGATGTTGACAAGCACCCGAGCGGTACGCATCATATTGCCACTGCACTGCCACTATGCTGGCTCGGCGCTACTGATCGGAGTGATTAGGGGCGCATGTGTGCTAGACGCTGTTACCACTCTCACCTCACAAAACAAACGTTACCCTACTAACTAATCTTTTGATTAGTTTACAGCAATCTGCAGGATCAAGTTAAAATATATAATAGGCCCTGCATTGCACGTTGTGCTGAATATTTAACCCTCCGAGTGTCCATAGTTTAGGCCTTAATGTCCACCTATTTTTAGCGCATTTGCAAGGTTTTATTAAAACGGATCTGAGAAGCTTAAAACAATGTTAATTCTACTTTTCTATATACCGTACCATTTTGTTTGGAAAATCATGGGCTTCAATGTCATATATAAAACATAAGGAATATTTGTTTCAAAAAAATTTTTTAGGTACCGTAAAAAAAAATTATTTTGGAAAAATTGAAAAAAAAAAATAAGTTCGCGCTCAATGAAATTGTATAAATTATAGGCCTATAAATATTTGAAAATAGCCACTTTGTTCTAAATTTTATGAGGATTACAAATAAATAATAATATAAGGAAGTAGATTTGCAAATAAATAAAGCCTGGTTTACACGGGTCGAGTACAGCGGGCGAGTCAGTGTAGGAGTTGCCACTCGCTCTCTAACTCGCATGGTGTAGACATGCAGACGAGTCGAGCAAAGGGCGAGTTGATAAAAAGAGGTCAATTGAGAGCGAGTCGAGTGATTTAGTTGAAAACCGAGTTGCTCGGCCCAGTAGCTACCCCTACTACCACGATTTGCCCGTGAAACATCTGTTTAGGGCCTACTGCTATCAAGTGAGTCCAGCGTCCACAGAATGATTTTTTTTAATTTTTTTTGTGGACACTGAGTGAGTCGATCACCGATCACACACTGACACACAATGATCAGTATTGAGGTTAGTTCAGTGAGTAGTGTAGGCCTACTCACCCTCAATGCTCAATGACAATGGTTTATTTGAACAGTACAAGTGATTTTGTACAAGTACAAGTTGAACAGTACTGTGTTGCATTGTCTCGTAAATCTACTCTTATAGAATTTAGTTTTTAAAATTGTTGTACAACAACTTAAGATCTACAGTTATACTGGACTGATTTTATTAATCAATGGTTCGTTAGAAAGCATATGTTCTATTAGAATTACATTGAAAACGGTGTTTTCAATTTTTTTTTTTGAGGCAACTTTTGGCTGCCTTTACATATTATTTTAAAGAAATGAAGAATAGTAATTTGTAACCAATCTTATTTTCTTTCAGAATATCACCTTTCACTTTGCTCTATTTCCTCACCGTTTACAAGTTATTTGCAAAAAAGCTTTTAAGCAACCTCTGAATTTAAGTGGTGATTCAGTTTTATATCTAATAATCTAATTCAGTGATTCAGCCTAATTAAGCTATTGTGTAGATTCAGTATTAAACTCTTGAAGGGCCATTTTAAACTCAAACAACATTTAACACAAAAGATACGGTATACGGAATACACTTCACCATATAGAAATAATAAAAATTACTTCTCTGTGCCTACACTGTCCCTGTTTGAAATAGGAACGCGTGTAGACAGTCCAGTCGAGTACCGGGCGAGTTGAACAAATCAACAACTGGGCCTAGTAACTGGGCCGAATAACTCGTCTGACATACTCGACCCGTGTAAACCAGGCTTAAGTTATGGGCAAAAAACAGATTTCAGTACATAGCGTTTAGCTAAGAATGCATAGCCTAACCATAGCTAGGAATCTGGCTGATAAACATCAATATCACCACCTACTTCATCCGGATCGTCAATAAGTCCTTCAACATCACTAATATCATCTTCTAGTGCATTACGTATATCACTACTGTCCATTTTTACCACTAAAAACGACGATAAACGTACAAAAACACACAAGTCACCGATGTGAAATAACCAAGTTGTCTAAAACACGAACGTCAGCTGTCTGCAACAATTACGATCGGCTCGGAGAACATAAAGCGCTTAGAGACAGACCTCTGGAGAAAGCTTAGAATCTAACGAAAAGAACGATACCTAACTCGATCCAGTTCAATCCAATTCAGTCAGTCATAGAGCCTTCGCCGTAAACGATGTTCGTGTGTCGAAAAATCGACGCGTGACACTGCACAAAGTGTGTCGTGAGTCGATTTTTCGACGAGTGACGCTCGGAGGGTTAAAAAAACTATGAATGTAGGCCTATCTTTAAAATTATCAAAAAAATATTAATCTCAGTTTGCAATAGGTTTTAGAAAAGTTCAATAGGCTACCCTCCAAAGCACCATTAATGCTGTCATTTTCTCCTCAGACATAAAGATCGGTATGGTTGCAGTAATATTGCTCTGTTTTAACTCATAACTCATTTATTGAACCAAAATAACAAATACAAATCTTGCTTTGGAAATATAACCTAGCCTACATGCAGTATCGCCATAGATTAAACAGAACCATAGCCTAGAACTCAAATTGACTTCTTATCACATTGTTAATTCAAAAGTGTTTTCATGTCTAGTTCATGTTGGTGACACTGGACGTCAGTTTTGACGTAATTTACTTTCTATTATTTTAGGGATAATTTAGTTCTATGATGTGTTTTAATTTATTATAATATAACCAGGAGACGACCTATTGTTTAGGATTATAGGCCTATCGTTATATTTTGGATTAACAATTTATAAATAACACGAGTACCTAGTTTTCAGCTAATCTACTAAAGGAGTATGTTTAATCTATGGTATCACGTACCGTACTGTAAGGAGTTCATGTTTTTGGGCCTGAAATTGGAATCAATTGCCATGTTTTTTGCAGGAATGTTCGGTCGGTTGAGTTGTTTTCTTTCAGTCCCACAATCATGAGCATACAATTGCTAAAAGTGTTTAAGACGGCATTTTGTTAAGGCTAAACAAGTCAATTCTTCAAAAAACTTGCAATGATAAAATTCCGACGAGGAGTGGTATTCAAGCAATTAAGTTAGGCCTATGGGCATGATATAGCTTTTAGTAAAGGTTTGAAGGAAAACTTTAGGCGACCAGCCAAGGGGGCGGAAAATTATTTGGGCCTAGGGGCTCCAAAATGCTACACCTGGCCCTGAAAAGATATCGCTTTAATTTTAAATTGAAACATTGTCCTTAATAGTTTCAGCTTTTGATTAATTGAGCCTAAATAAATTAACGACTTAACCTTAGGCCTAACTTATTACTTACAGTGTATTCTCAACTCCTCCAGTGTTTGCTTGGCTTAATACCTGAGTTAAAATCTTCGGTCGTAGCATTTCTAAAATTATATTTTAATTATTAACTTATTATTATTAGGTGCAGTTGAAATATGAGATGGAACAATTTACGATTAAATTATATTTTTTTAAGGTTAATTGCTATCTCCGCTGATCTACTATTCTCCTCCCTCCTGAGTCCTGAGTCTGTCTGAGTCTGAGTCCTGAGTCCTGGACCTGGTCTGGTCTGGTCTGGTCCTGATTCTGACAGGTTAAGGTTGAGGTTTTTTTCGGGTCTGACTTAGGGGAGATACGATTGAGGCATTAGTTCAAAATTCCTCCGTGAACAGCGCTGTAGTAGCGAGAGCATTTTGGCAATGAAGGTTTACTAATCGCAAAAATAGTCCTGTTCATAAAGTAAAATTATAAATGCCTCAAATTCAATTTTATAATTTTTTTATTATAAAATTACTATCATAACCTAACAAAACTAACCAAAATTGCTGATAATGAAATAATATAAAAAAGTTTATTAATAGAAAAAAATAATTCTGTTCATTAAATAAAACTAGAAATTGCTCAATTAAAATTTTATAATGACTTAATAATAAAATTAAACTGTCATAACCGAACCAAACCAACCAAACTTGCTGATAATGAAAAAAATCTTAGTCAAAAGGTTGGTGCCACTAGTGGGATTGGATTCGAACCCGGAACTCTCAGCATACAGTGCGACACGCTAACCACTAGACCACCGAGGCCGACGGCTGAAAACCGTATTGTTACGGTAATGGTGTTCCCTCTACTATTGAGAAGCCTACTACAGCTGTCATCGTAACCTCACCTATACCTCCCCTGAGTAAATACCATTTTTTTCCTTACCGAAAAGGTGGTCTGGCTATTTTTACCCATGAGACATCAATGTTCACCGTAGATGTCCATTAAATTATAATTATTATAAAAAAATTATAAAATATGTAGCCTATTTATATTATGAATGAATGAATGAATGAATGAATGAATGAAACAATGCTTTATTTACATGATCTAAGTACAAGTTTTACAATATTTCCATAGTATAACCAGTTCATGATTCACACAGCAGACTCGCATTTTTCCAACTTGGTCTTATAAGACCGTCAGCCGGGTTGGCAAACACATTGTAAATGCTAGATAAAACAAGTACAGTACATTTGTATACATTCAAATTACCTTTCTGGTGTACCATTAGGCCTATTTCAACTAAAAACATTTGTTTTATTTATTTATTTTTTTTTATGTTTTTTTTATTCTATACATTTATACATATATTTGTAACTTATAAATTTCTTAAAACTAGAGAGTGCTCAGAGCTTGAAAAAGGTTAATAATTAAACTCTTGAATAATTTCCCACCTGTACCGCCAAGCTTGCTGTAGGAATCGGGCAAGCCGCACCCAATCAGCCCCGTTCAACAAGGATATGAATGTATCCCGGGACAAATCCTCTAAACCGAACCAAAACATTCTAAAATGGCGCAGTATCGGGCACTTGGCAACGAAGTGGTAAACATCCTCTACTTCCCCCAAATTGCATAACGAACAGTTATGATTTTGATTTTGTATCCATGGTTTATAATTTAAATATAATAATTCACCTCTACACTTGAAAATCCATTTAATTGTATTAAAATCCAACTTTGAAAAAATGTAACCATTATCTTTTAAATCCAAACTAAGTGATTTATAAATAGCATGATAGCGAGCATTCATGGCTGTCTGAAGGACACGCTGGCGATCGTTATCACGGACCGCAAACAACAGCTGACCCAACTGATATCTTGTTTCACTAATATCATTCTGTTCTACTGATAAGTGCACTGATAAACTTTCTGCTAAACTCTTCCACTCCCTATACCAAAATATCTGTTTTCTTATAACTTCATTTGCTAACAATTTTGGTAAACGTGATTCGGGCATATTTAATACTTTCAAAACATATTCAAAGTGAAGTTTCAACGTATGAATGAAAATTGGGTCTTGGTCTGTTTCTAAGTATATAATGTAATTAGGTGTGCATTGAGGTAAACAAAAAACCTTTTTGACGAAAAAACGTAAAAGTTTTTCAACTTCATTGTACAGTTTAAAACCCCAAACTTGTGCGGCATAACACATTATTGATCTTACTACGGAGTAAAAACACTCAAATTTTAACAATACTGAAATGTCTTTATTTTTAAAAACCTTTGACCATAACGAATTTACTGCATTTTTTGAGGACGCTAGCTTTTGTTCAAAGTGTTTTTGGAAAGAAAACTTTGATGAGAAAACCACCCCAAGATACTTGTAAATGTTTACACACTCTATTAAATTTTCTTTATAACGCCACCGCTCGTTTGCTCGTAAGCCGCCACCATTCCTAAACACCATAACCTTGGATTTGTCAAGATTTACTACCAAATTCCAATCCTCACAATATTTTTGCAGATCATTAATCATTAATTGTAAACCCGTCGCCGAAGGTGACACCAAAACAATATCATCCGCGTATAACAGAACTTTCACTTTGAAGTTTCCAAAGATGCACCCACCCCCTAGAACATCATGTAGGTCATTTAAAAACAATGAGAATAACAAAGGACTCCCTAAACATCCTTGCCTCAGGCCTTTTGTTGTCTCAAAACACTCTGACACACCTTCCTTACACCATACACCTGCTGACGTACCATTATAGCAACTTTTTAATAATCTTATTATCTTTGAAGAAATTCCAATTGTATGAAGTTTATAAAACAACGAGTTTCTGTCAATCCGGTCAAAGGCGGCAGAAAAATCTACAAAAAAACAGTATAATTTGCCTTTTTTGACTGAGAGCCTTAGATTAATCATATTGGAAAGAGAGAAAACATTATCTACTGTAGAATAGCCTTTACGAAAACCTGCTTGGTACTCACACAAAATATTTTTATCTGTAACCCACAATTATTCTAACCGGTTTAATATTACACCCATAAACAACTTAGCCACAGCATCCATAAAACAAATACCTCGATAATTAGACACCTCTCCAATATCCCCTTTTTTATGTAGTGGATAAACAATTGACTTCTTAAAACTTTCTGGAAACTTTCTATTTATATTATGATCAAATAATATATATTTATTTGCATATTATCCTTCCTATAGTAAACACAATCTTATTTTCCAGATAATGCAATGGTGAATAGATTTTTGTTAATAAGAAACATAAATGTGGTATATCGTGGTGCATGTAGTTTTCGTTAATTAAAAGTAGGATTCGGGATTCTAAAGATTTGACGGATTTCATGAAATGGAAGGCTAAGGTGACTTTTCTCTCCTTGGGGCCGATCAAGCAATGTCCTAACCCGAAACAAGGTTGGCCACGGATGAAGCACCCAAAGGATTGAGAAAACATCATATATGTACTTGTTGAGCTGTATTTTGTGTTCTATGTTTTGTGAAATAGGTAGGTTTGCATGTTTTTATATTCTTTTCTTTATTGCTTTTAAGTATTTGTTTATTTCAGCGTGGATTTTTTCATCTGCATTTGGAAGGGTTTGGCTTAGCGTTATGAGTAGAAAGTACGTATGAACCATGGTTAACTATAATTAAACGTAGGAACTACGTATTACAGATTATTAGACGAAAATTAGAAGTCCTATTAGTGTTGGTTTATCTATGGGGATACTGAACTAACCTGGTTATACACTGTGGTACTACGTCCTGATAGCACCTCGAGTCAGATTTTGCGCCAGAATAGCACTCGCATTTAAAGGGATCTGCTCAGTGGTAGTGAAGAGGACAAACAAATCTACACAGTAATTTCAAAAGATGACTTGGATTTGGATGTAAAAAATAAGTCAGAACACACAATGAGCATAATAAACAATTCCCCTAACAGAAACAAAACAGTATGGAACATCATCAACAAAGAAAGAAAACTTTTAGACAATAAAGTGGACAATATCATCCTTAACTCAAATTTACGCCAAATAACCGAACCAACATCGATCTGCAACACCTTCCAACAGCTATTTTATCAACATCGGCAACCAAGCACTACGAATCCCAAACCTCAACAAGCATCCAATCCCTCGCCACCTGATATGACACAAAACCACATCTATCTGCCTTCAAAAAAATCACCCGACATGAACTCGGCAAACTTTTCAAAATCATTCCCCTAAATCCTCATCGTGCGGACTGGACGAAATTCCAAACAAAATCCTAAAGCACTGCAAGAACAAACTGATTCATCCGCTTGACAAATATCATTAACACCTCAATAATAAAAGCCACAGTTCCACAAGCCATGAAACAAGCTCTGGTCTACCCCAAATTCAAGAAAGGAGATACCACCCTAACCGAAAACTATAGACCAATTTCAATACTACCGGCCCTATCCAAAAATATATACGGTAATCAATTCCCAAATAATAACTTTCCTGGAAAACGACCACGTCCTGTCGACAACCAAAACGGCTTCAGAGAAAAGAAATCCATAAATAAATACCGCTCCCATTTGTCTCAACTATGCAACACCATAACCAATATCTGGGAGGATAGAAAAAAAGCAAACGCCAATACATTTCTAGATCTCCAAAAATTGTTTGATAGCCTAGACCATACTACTAAAAAAAAACACCCCTAAACATCAACAACAAAGCTCTAGACTGAATAAAAAGTTACCTCTACAATAAACAAAGACAACAACTCATTGAAATTGAACACCAAAGTGGAAACGTCATTACCATATCTAGATCAAAATTGCAAACCATCACTCAAGCAATCCCCCAAAGGCTCAGTACTGGGACCGACTATTTCTCTTATTGGCGGTTTTGGGTCTTTTACTCTCCCTGATCTACATAGACACCTTATTCTCACCCTCCTACTAGCAGACAACGTATCATGTTTGCTGACGACACGACCCGGCAGTCCCGGGCATAGCAACACCCAATCTAACAGAAAAAACAATATACACAGACAAAAATCTGCAATCTGCAATAGCCTTAATCTCCGAATCAACTAATCTTAAACTGTCTGCATGAAATTTACCCCAACAAACACAACAAAATTTGGCATTTAATGCCAACCCTACAACCAAATTCCTCGGCATATATATCACTCATCGCTTGACCAGCAACTAAACTGTTGTGATGGTCAGGCAGTTGTTAACCATACTTTTTGGAATATCGGATAC